GTGATTTAAATGCAGATAAAATGTTTCAATTTATTATTTAACTTAATTAATATTAATTCTCAAAATAATTTTCAAATTCCAACTTTTCATAGTCACGATCATGAAGGCCGACGTACAAATTCCACTGCTAATAAATTCACTTTTTTTTATTTCAGTCACTTTGTCACAAAATAATATACTGTCTTATTAGAGAATTCCAAAGCGAACCTTTCCACTCCATCCACGATTCTTCTGAAAATTGTTTTCAAATCTCGTGTCTCTATTTTAATCTGTTCAATTATATAATAGTTCAGAAGGATACCGTGCTTCTTCAAAGTCTGTACGTATTCCTGAACGTCGATGAGGAAGACGCAGCAGCTACCGTACACAGCGGGAAAAGTTCGTAAACCACACGGCAATCGGAACCATCACTAACTCCTCTAGCTTTACAGAGTACCAGTTTAAATGAACACCGGACCAGATAAAGACAATATCATGCCGATAAACTATCATTATTATCTTTCTGTTTCTTATCCTCACATTTGAGTTAAGGGCGGAGACGGTAAAGCTAACGTAACTCGCACTCGCTATCGCTAATCGGCTACCACCGTAAGCCACCAAGAAAATTTTTACCTACAAGAAATTTGATCGTTCAACCCAGGCCTACAAACTCTTCCTATATGCTTGCTCCTTGCAACTCCAATTTAACCCATACCTGCTTTACTTTACTTTTTAACCCATACCTGCTTTACTTTTTAACCCATACCTGCTTTTTTTGGAGCAACAACTCCTTTTCCATTTAATTAATTTTCTGTAAACTCTACTAAAATGTTATGTATAAGATGCAAAGTAATGTTTGAAAGTAACCTACAGAAACAATATATCTTTCTTAGATGCTGAGCATCATTATAGGCGATAACTTATGTCTTATCGCAAGATATAACAAAACTTCTTATCGACAGCTTAATCTAACACGTCTCTTTGTGACATAGGAACTTCTCTCTCATCACATCGAAGCGACCGTTAAAATTTGCAGAAACGCCAAAACTGCATTAAACTTAACTATTGGAAGTGAGGGAAAATCTGGGTACATTTTCTGATAGGTGAAACGTTAGTGCAAATTCATCCTTGATATAGAAAGTTTGTAAATTTTATATGTGTAAAAAAACCTCACACACGAAGTTACACTTCCAGAATATAATAAAAAATATTCATGTACTGATGGCATGTTCGAATAAAGTTTGATCCCATAATTTAAAGCTACAAAGAAAAAGCAACGTAAAGATACAGAGTATTAGATGGAAGACAAAGCGGCAGCGCAAATTATAAGCATTCTTGCAGGTGAATTTACAAATGAATACTATTGATGTTGTGATTTGAATTCATATTCTAGGATCCAACTGCTCGCGTATTACTCGAATAAATTCAGAACAATGAGAAATACTAGCGGAAATGTTTTCTTTTTATTGAGGAAATGTATAGAGTATTTTGACGATACATTTTTTGCCTAGGGTCGTTCTTTGGTGACCAGATAGCCGCAGGTATCGTAGGTACGATTCAAGTGCATCACTACGAATAACAGTAGAGTATTTCCAATATAGGCGTACGTAAATAATCTAGCAAAAGAAGAAAAATAATTTTTTTTTATTTAAATGCAAACCTTTTAAGAAATACCGCGCTCTGCATGTCTCAAATATTCGGCACGCATTTCAATAAGGTAAATGAACATTAATGCTGATTTGAGACTAAAAATTATATGTTACAATGCTCGGTAATGTGGTGGGTGAGTGATCAGCGCCAAAATTCACAAGTAAATGTAGATGTTCTAGATATTAAAACATGTTATTTTGAAAAGTTAGAATTCTACAAATGGTTTTTGTGATATAAAATATTCAATGGTTATAATTTTCGACGCAACAAAAAAATTCAGTTGATTTCATCGTGGCGAAAAATCTAGTTACGGCAAAAATATAATGATTTGCAGATGACGGGGGTTCGGTGAGGATAGAATTTTGATTTTAATTATATGCGGCAGGTTTGCGGTTAAAACCTGGCAATTGACCGTCAATTGTCAGATGAAAAAATTGTAAAACTATTCGCTATTCGCATGCGTATTTTTGTATAAAAAATTAATATATTTTATACCTATTTTTAATATATTTTTTCACTATTTTTCTATTGTCTTCAGATTGGAAAAAAATAAAGCATGTGGAAAATAACATGAGCGGGATATACAAGTCTAAGGCGTATTTAAATCGATTAAAGTAACCCATGAAGTATAAAATTGGTAATGGAGCCGTGAGTGTAAAATTCATGAAACTCGACACTATTTGTAACAATTCGACCATAAGCTATAAGGTTTTTGTTCATTTGACTCTCAAAACGCAAACTTCATTTTTAATCCACGAGTTTTATCAGTGTGACTCTGCAAGGATCTAAAATTATTTTCGCTGAGCATTTTCTCAATTCAGGGTGGAAAGTTCTTATCATATTCAAACTAATTACAGTTAATTAGTAATTTGTTCATATTTTTCCTTTAAAACATCATTTCAACAATTGAAACAGAGTTATTATGGTAAGAAAATTAATATTAAAAAATTAATCATGGAAATTTCATTTGTATTTTTTCATTATTATTAATGTCTATTTTAATAAACAGGTTCTCCAGTTACATTTTTTAAATGTTTAAAAAATTCTCTGCAAAATTTTCAACCTAAAAAATTTGTATACACTTGCGTGCGCCAGTTAACTAATATAGAGATTATAAGATTTGTTTTCAAATAAATTAATATCAAAAGTATTATGGTCAAATGGGTTAGGGGCATCAGTTTTATGGCAAAATGAACTAAAGACACCAGTTTTATGAATTATTCTTTTAATAAAATGAAAATAAATGAAGGAAAGAGCTGCATTGTGTCCCACTCAATTTTTGCCTCCAAATCCGCATCGGCGAACGCGTTTGCAATTTTGTTTGTCTTTGGTTATAATTTTGACGCAAAAATAATTTCCTCTTCATGGCAGCCACGTTTTTAATGTCAGTATTTAATTTTTTATGAAACCTTCTCCCAGAAGCATTTATAGTCGCCACATCTATACGTCGCCTTTGAGTGACGGTTATGTATGAAGCTCATTCGCCTAATTGAATATATATATCGCCATCAATTTTAGGCTGCGCTATGGCCAGGTGGACAAATATGAAGCCAGCCAACATTTTTCCGATGAATAATTTTCAGTAACGTGGTAGAGATGAAATGTGTATTTCTGCATTGCCAGGAAAGGGTGGTTGCCAAAGGGTTAGATTTACCGAGCACGTAAATCTAGCCAAAGGGTTAGATTCAACGAGCACGTCAGTTTACCTTATTTCTTGCCGCCATCTTCACCTGTGTAAATGAATATTGAGAAGCAACCGTCGCTCCCGCGCACATAAGGACGTGGTTATAGGAGCAAGCGCAGCGGCGGCTAATGCATTCTTATCAGCAGGTATCTGGCGCTGTGCCTGCTCTGCGCCTGCGGTGCCGCTCACGCATTACCGGCACTCAGCAACACTGTATGAGTGCCTCTGTCACGCTAACGGGATAAGAATGTTAAACTGATGAGTTAGAGTTATGAAATTCTTGTCTTAATGAAATTCTTGTCTTAATATTGATGTGAACAAGTGGAATTTTATTTTGGAGGCCAGGTTACACTGTTCATGTAGTTTTCAAAAGAAACCGGAGAGTCTGCTAGGTAATTTAAAATTATTATCTCATCCTTACGATCTCATCAAGAGTCAGAGTAAAATCATCGGAAGTTAAAAAAAAATTAATATGATAACGGTAGTACCATCTGGCCGATGTCACTCAAACGCTGTGTTACCAATGTATATTTTTTATTAACAGGACCTATTTAATGGCCTCAATTGTAATCTAGTTGCAATTATTAGTGGAGCCGTCCAAATTCTTGGTGATGATTACATTAATTTTTGATGAATTCGTTTTTAATTTAGGGTAAGTAGAATAAGATGTCTTGGATTGATATCTTTAATAATGTTTTTAAATTAAATGTCGGCTTACATTCTTATGGATTCGTTTGGCCATTCGCCGTTATAAAAGTAAATTAATTCATTTTAACCTATTGTTGAATTTTAACTTTTAATATATGTGCATGCTTAGATCTGTCGATAAGTTGTTGCATAGTAATTGTACGTTTTTGTGCCTGTTGAGTGAATAACCAGATGAATAAAATACAAGGGAAGTCGTTAAGAAAAGATGTAAGAATATTTCTGGGGAATTATTCGTTAATTAATGAACATTCACAATTCTTCATTCATACTGACATGCACTGAAGTAAAGCAATTTCCATAATTTTTGAAGGTAATATGCAATTCCAGCAAAGATAAATTAATTCAGATCCATTACATGACAATTTTTCAAAGCCAATCGAACATCAGTGGAAACTATAGCGAGATCGCCATTGCTCCGATTAATTGACGAGCCAGAATTAAAATGATTATTAAATTGTTTTGATTGTTTAAATGTGGTAGGGATTTGTAAGAATATATCAAACTTGCACCTCAACGTGAATCGGAATCCCCGTCCAAAAACTTTTACCAGTAATAAAACAAGAAAAAAATATGACATTCGCACCCTTGATGATTTAGTTTGATTGCGGATTTACTAGTTTGCTAGCCACCTAAACGCTAATTTATTTCTGTCACTTTTATGATGAAAGTGACGACTATCTTGCCCAGACATGTTTCGGAGTTTTCAACGAACATATTGAAATTATGGAGGAAGTTTGACTATTTCTTAGGCGAAACGTGTACTTGAATATAACGGGTAAATACCGTAGACTATGCAGCGTGTTGAAGGCTGGTGCGTGACTTTTTACCGTAGCTAAAATGAATACTGAAAATGAATGTATGAATTACGTAAGGTAATGAATGCTTAGTTGGTAATTCCCAAATTATTGGTAACTTGAGCTCCCACTTTCAATCAATAGCAGATAAAATTTTTACCCGTGCATTAGGAAAAAGAAAATAATTTTAAATTGATATGTGTAATGGCTATGGAAAAAATCAGAAAAACACCAAACTCATGATTTTATCTATGTTAAAGTATGTACAAAAATTTTATTCCACGTGTATTAGCTGGAACTACAACCAACTTCGCCGAAAATCTGTTACTCATGAAGCAATTGCGCGCGTCATTAAATTAAGTTATTATTTTTTTTAAATTACAAGCGCACAAGCTTCCGTAACGTAGAAAACTCACGACTCTTATTTCGAACAAAAACCTTATAACTAAAAAAACTTCACTGTAAATTTGCTAACATAAACAATTATTATACGATTGGACATTATAGTTTTTTTCCTTAAGCCTGGCATCATTACATCGGTGTCCAGCCTTTCAACATTCATTCCAGACACGACATTCATTCACATTCATGAATGTCTTTCAACATTCATTCCTGACATATCCATAAAACAAAGAACGTGGACAAATATTCGTATACAATTAGTAGCGTGCAATTCAAGAGCTGTACTTTGTGAAATAATTTTTGAATTGTACTTTTTCGTTGTTTGCGTAAAACATTTAGGTATTTATATATACATAATAAAAATAATGGGCTGAAAGTTTGTAAGATATTGTAAAGTGCCGCTGACATATCTACTGTACAGGGGTAAGGCACTTCGAGGAATACTTTTCAAATTCAGTATAAGATTTCGATAGAGTGAACGACCAAGGCCTGGTATAATTCGCTAAAAAAATATATATCTTCCTAATAATTCGGACAATAGCTAAAATAATGGCCATGAATCGTAAATTTGCCGGATCATATCTCATACGCAGTCATCAAAAATTTAAACAAGTCGTAACTACGATGCCTCACATTTGGAATCGGAAAAAGTGATGAAATGATGATGGAGCTGGTCTCTGAAACATTTTTTGATGAAGATACTGTGAATTTCTGTGGCGTTCACTCTGCTTTTAAATTATTAGGGTACATTTAGAAATGCAAATAATTTCAGAAACTCATTTACAACTTTTTACATGAATCATCACACCTACTAGTCAACATTTCAGCAAGTAATTGATCTACTTAATTTTTAAAGCAATAAATTGGCTCCAAGAATTTTCTGAGGGTTCAGAGCAATGAAATTGCAACCATGTGTGAACTGTAAAAGTAACACGTTAGATATACACCGGCATATTTCCTATCGCAATCATACATTTCTCAGGCGTTGATATCGCGCTTCTTCTACATCATTCTACATACTGTACAGTGCAGTAATTTTACAACGCTCTCGATAAATATTACATAAGGATTCAGGAGCATGACGATAGTCGGGAACGTCTGGTACCGTTCTAAAAACAGTCAAGTGCAAATGCGTCGTCTGGACAACTCCTTTACATAAACATGAAATGAATGATTTGAATTTCGAGGTATAGAACCCTTATAAGTAGATAGTAAAATGGAGAACGAAAAATTTCCCATACAGATTAAAACTAATAATTATGTTAGCTTGTATTATTACGTTTAGTTTTGGGCAAAGTACAATTCCGGATTAAACGGAATTGAGGCAACCTTGTTACTTGTGCTCTAGGTTGTCTTCACGCAAGGTAAAGAGCTGACAATTGATATAATGCTTATGCAACTTATTCTCGTAGATGCATTGAATTTAGGAAAGATCCCTGCTATGTCGCTATAAGATTTGAGTTCGTTTTATTTGGAAGCGGCTTCACCTGAGATTTTAAACAGTCTAGTTCACAAACTTATCGCACTTCAAAGTAGCCATGGAACAACTCCAGTCTATTAGAGGTTTAAAACCCCATGTTCGAAGGCTTTGAACACATTCGCAATCACGGCTCAGGCTCTTACACTCCATGTTCGATTTAGACGTTTACACAAATTTTTGACATTGAGTCCATGCAGAAGATAGATTCGTTAATGAATTTAACGAACACCAATCCACGAATTATTATTCTAGAAAGAAAAAAACCAACAAACAAAGACAAAAAATAATTAGAGCATAATCCAAACTTTGAGCCCTAGTAACAATCGGAAACAGCCACTTAAAATTTTCTCATTTGAGAGAACCAAGTGTAGTCAGTTCAGTCAAGAAGTATCAACAACATTTCACGTTTCTTCAATCAAAATTCTCTCGTGACCTAAGTCGTATTTAAAATTATTAACATTAAAAACAAAGAAATACCATAATGATATAAACAACAAGCAAGAATGTTTTGACACACGCTAATTAATCACTGGTGTGCGCTTTTTCTCAGATCTTCTGCCGAAAATGCGCTGTAGGAAGTGGGCGTTGCAGCCGATGATGTCATCACACCATGTGAAGCAGCCATCATTTGACCAGCAGATCCATTGGTAGCAAGAGGCACTTGGTCAGACTCGTACGATATGGTGTAGGTGGAATGCGCCAAGGCTTCTACAGGTACGTTGCTGTAAGAAACGTTGTGGGCGCTTGGGGGCGACCCTCCGGCTATCTGGACCGAGGTCAATGACACCTCAGGCGTGGAAGTTGCGGAAGTAAGTGTCGTGTTGGAATAGTCAATGGATCTCATGGTGATCCCCTCACCTTTAGTAGCCGAGTTCATTGAACTCATGCCGGCTAATGTCTCGTAGGGATTTTGCTGGGAAAAGAAATTCGGAATTGCCGAACGGTCGGCTGCTGCCACCGGCAAACTGGCGGGCGAATTGTTCAAGGAGCCTTCGACATCCAAATTTTCAGTCCGCGAACCTGGTGACGAAGGCTCATTTTTTACTTGACAGCCTTGGTAGGTGGTACTAGATATGTCGTTTGGAAGGACGGAATAACTAAAATTGTTGATTTGTGGAGCTTTTAGTTCAAAATCCCTGAAAGCATCAGCGGAAGGCTCAAAGAACGACCCAGAGTTGAGGACAACGTTTTCTGCTACGGTCGTTGTGGGTATGGGAGAACTGGCGAGAACCGTAGGGGTCTGGGAAGATGATGTGTACGAGATTGTTTGCGAATCCCTGGCAGAGGAGAGGGCAATCGTCGTATTGGAGGTATTGCTTGAGGGAAAAGTGTTGACATAATCTTGACTTCCGTACACTGACGAACCGTAGGAGTATGAGAAGTTTGAGACAGCACTGGCATTCGTCTCAAAAGTCCCGCCGATTCCTTGTTCCACTTTCACTGTAAGTGAGAAAGAATTCGTTCAATATCATTTTTCAAAAAGAAGCTTTCAAGTTCCTACGAATTTAGAGGACGAGCGATGAGGATTGAATCGTCTGAAAATTGAGGTACGCAACTAACATTACGTAGATATTCTGACTTGGAAGATGTCATTAAAAACATTGTTTCCCTCAAAATTAGTGTGAACTATGTTTGATATAATGGAAATCAAGCTGAGAATTCGATAAAATTCGATAAAAACTAAAACATAAATCAAAATAAAAATAGCATGATTTGAAAATGGCAACCGTTCAATAGGCGGTATCAGACTAAAATACAAGTATTTATACAAGATACAGACTAAGAAAAAGACTACATTTATCAAGATAAAGACTACATACATTACTGTCCAGTAGATTTTGATATACGATATACGTATAAATGAAGTCCATGGATCCATATAAACATCGATTGAAAGCCATTTAACTATGTGTTTTTCATTAAAAAATGTTAAAAAGTAGGGTGACAACACACTAAAAAGGTGTCTAAAATTTACGACGCGCTTACCAACTGTGGTAGGTATTTTGCTAGTCTCTTGGTCGGCTGCTGGTGCTGACGTGGCGCTTGTATTGTGTGATGCCGTGGTACCGACACCTGCTGCTGCCACTGACGTGTCTGTGATTAGTCCAGACGATGACGACGAAGAATTCGGTGTGAAGTATTGTGCAGAAGACGATCCTTCGACGGCGGAAGACGATGATGCACCTTTCATGGTCACTGACTGCGCTGCAGAGGAAGTCGAAGCTCTGAGTTTGCCAACACCGAGAGACGTGGCAGTATCGGAAGAAGATTTCTTGGACGAAGAGGAGCCTGAACCACCGCGAGTTTTTTCGCCCGTTTTCGACTTTCGCTTCCGGCGCTGGCAGTTGGAAAATATGAAAAGAGTTATAATGAATAAAATATTAAATATTCTAATCAAGTTTTCCAAATAGCTGCATGTTATAGCTTTCAAAAGGCTAGGTTCGTTTTAGTTTCCCTAACTAACTAAGCTCTATATAAAGCTGACATGTGGCATAGCTACTAATTTTAATCTACGAGACAGGCTACTTTGAGGCCTTAGACTAGGCACAGTCATTTAACTGAAAACTAAAAGAATCCAATAGTGTTTACGAAAACATTCTCTTCACAGCAGCACGATAGCATTAACTACTCATTTTCTTAGTGTAATTTGATTGTATTACCATTAACTGTGAAGTCTGTATTACTGCATAAAAGAATCAATTTACATTGATTTTACGAGAACTTATATAATACCCATTCGAAGGCGATGGCAGAACTGAATACAACGTTTTTCAATCTGTTTTCATCGGTATCGCAAAAAATTTGTAATAATTTTTACTGAAACGCTTCTATAGTAATCACATTATTATCCCGATTCTAATCGATTCCTGATTTTAAGTTAATTGAATATTTCATCAATTCAATATTTATTCAACTTTTATGTTTTGGTAAAAACAACAATAACAATATTATTCGTAAACGAATTGGCGCTAACAATCGGTCACAGTAACTAAGGCGAATATTGATATGGTGCATAATAGTTATATTAGATGTCTATTGCAAGCTGTATTTCTTCATAGACCCTGGCCGGTTGGACTGATGCTGTTTAAAATAAATGGCGTACAATAGTTAAAGTAGAGACAAGAACTCACCTGCAAGCTGTCTTTCTTCATGGACCCTGGTCGGTTGGCCTGATGCAGTTTAAAATAAATGGTGTACAATAGTTAAAGTAGGTTTCATTGAAGACCAGAGAATTTGTTTTATTCGCAATTTTCTTATTAGTTTTTTCAATATATCGAACAATATTTTTAGTTTGAACTGGCAAATCGAAAATCAGGTTACCGATGGACATTTTTATTTCGTTAACGACTTTGCCCTTCTTAGATATAGTCGTCCAAGCTGAGAATAATTCATTCGTAACCAAAGTATACCGATGTACATTAGTTAAAGTAGAGACAAGTACTCACCTGCAAGCTGTCTTTCTTCATGGACCCTGGCCGGTAGGACTGATGCATTAAAATAAATATTGTACATTAGGTAAAATATAGACAAGTTCTCACCTGTAAGCTGTCTTTCTTCATAGACCCTGGCCGGTTGGACTGATGCAGTTTAAAATAAAGTCCACATGCGTTGCAAACGGGCTCGCCAGCAGGGTTTCTTCGCCACAGCGACGTCACAGTCGTCTGACAGTTGGTGCACACTTGGTCTACTTTACGCGTGCCCTGTGAGGAAAATTGATTATTTTTGCGATCATCTAAATGCATTATGTAATATTAAAATATTTTATGTTCGGTGAGAATTAAATATTGATCAAATTTCATTCTCGTAAAACACAGATAATTCAAATCAAACCTAATATTGCATCACATCAATTTAAGGTGATATTTTTATTTTAACAAAATGGAAACATCAGAGTAGACACATTTTAAACAACTTATTTTAACGTCCAAAAAAGCTGTTTCATCCATGAAAAATGCATAAAATTAGTAAAAAAAGTTTCCACTATCTCATGATTAGTTAAGCAAAAATTTAAAAGTAAAAGGTAAAGCGGGCAAGTTCATGCAAGCAGATTGAATAAAGGAAGTCGTGCAGGGCAGAAATCGTACTATATTATCATTACATCCCAAGCTAAAAATAAGTATTATTCAAATTAGAACGCAGATTCTAGGTAGTGAAGAAATTCTAACCCAGTTATATTGCAATGGCGTTTTTTATTGTAGCCAAGATAGGAAAAAAGTATCTATACATTGCCTTTGTGAAAGCCTGTTATTTAAGATAATCGTCATTCATCATATAATGGTTCAATGAACTTTAATCCATATTAGAGGACTTGAGTAAAAAAACTCTATTAAGTGCTCTGAATTTTGATCAAATAATTGACTATAACTTGGACCTACCCCTCGTCTCTTCGAGTGGTCCATGTATGGCTGATGATATCGGTTGTGAGGCAAGTAGCTCCGGTTAGTCATGTACGACTCCACTGCAACAAGCAAAGAACGAGACAAAAAGCGTTAGTTCAAACACAAACACAAAAGCCAGGCAATGACAGCTTAACCAATGCACTTAACGGGTGGTAGAATATATTATTATCTTGTAGGCATTGCTGCATGCAAAAAAAAAAAAAAATTATGTGATTGAAATCATAGTTTGATTTCGATTCGACAACTGGGTGACATAACACAAACAAGGTCCAAACGAAGTAGAAATTTATTAGAGCCAATAATAGATTTTTCTTCTCTATATAATCAAATGTCATGGATCAACTGACTTGTGCTTGACATAAGTCACGCTCACACGGAGACAAATATAATAATTTGAGACAATACATTTAACAATAATATCGAAAATGGATTTAGAAACTACGATTTTACTTGAATCGCATAATTTTGGAGAGTACGTTTAAAATCCGGTAAAGTTTTCTCAACATTCAATCATGCTGAAGCAAAACAAAAACCCTCAAACAAACATTCGCGCAAAAGAATGCACCAAAGTCAAAGTTTCTAAGCATGTGATGCAGTGAATTAATCTTCTGTACATTCGTTTCAAAAAGTTTATTCAAAGATATTGACATTGATATGTATAGCGTAGAAAAGTATACTTTTGAATGATGTGCTACCTTCCTCACGCGTGTTTGATCGAAGTCGTTAATAAGTATTTGTGTAGTGTTATATAATTAAATTATCAGGCTCCTATCAACGCCAGCTGAAAAAAACAATATGGACAAGAAGATGCGAGCTGAAACAAGGCTGTACAAACTGCAAGCTTGGAATTATAAAAACAGTCAATAGTGTCAATACTGTATCAGTATCAAGTTGAAAAGCTGAATAATGCGCCAAAGGGAGCTGACCGAGCGTGAATTCAGAGCATATATAATTTTTCACCCAAGTGTAAACGAAACTCTTGCCTTGCATTCTGGTTCTTCAAATCCTTTGAAAAACCAGTCCGTAAAAATGAATTTGAATGCTTTTTCAATGAAAAATAATGAAAAATTAGTTCGCCTTTTACTGACATATAATTTTAGATAATTTAAAGTATCAAAAACCAAAAGACAAATTAGTTTTACGAAATTTATATACCCTCTTGAATTCACACTAGTCGTATGCACACTTGAAGGACTTGGAAGTCTCACTGGACGCCTTGTAGGGGTCTTGCCCAAGGGTCTGTTGATGCCGTTGGTGCGCGTGTAAAGACCACAAGCGTTGCACAGGTAATGTCCTGTGATGTCACGCCGCCACAGCGGTGTCTGCGACTCTCCACAGTTCACGCATTCACGCAACTCGCGGCCATCGCATGATGACCAAAAGTCATCCGATGTGAGCGCGGCGTATGCGGCTGATGAGTGCATAATGAATTCCTATGATTTATTATCACACTTTCTACGATGCGGTTGACGAATGCATATTGAATTCCTATGATTTATTGTAACACTTTCTACATAGTGTGTCAAAATAGTGACTATACCATAAAACCATATAATAAGTGTTATAAGTCTCTGCCCATTGCACTGATAAGCCTTTTTGTCGGACCAAACTTAATGAATTCCTATGATTTATTATCACACTTTCTACAATGCGGTTGATGAGTGTATAATGGATTCCTATGATTTATTTTCACACTTTCTATATCATGTGTCAAAATAGTGACACTCTCTGCCCGTTGCACTGATAAGCCCCTTTGTCGGACCAAACTTAGTTAGAATGATCCATACAATTAAGGACAAAAAGTGAACGTATCACTCATTCCCCAGAGTGCATGGCAAAATTAAGTAGCTTGATGCGGATGTTATTTATGAAGAAAATTGTGCGTATTTAGCAATTAACGACATATTTACTGGATTACTAATAAACGGATTGGAAAAAACAACAGAATTATTCATTTAAGAAACTTTTTCAAACAATAGTTTGAAAACTTCTGAGCCGTAAACCAGCAAAAACTTCTGAGCCGTAAGAACTGAAAAAAAATCATGAAAAGTATAGTCGAGTTGAGGTAGCTTCTGAAAAGTTTAATTTGCATTAACTTATTATATAGAATGCCGGATCATTGTCCATGCGTCTTCTGGGAATGAATCTAAATGCAAAAAATTAAAAAGTTTAAGATGTGTGCAAGGTTTTCTATTTATTTATGACCAAACAATTCTAGTTTAATGTTAATTCATCAGAATTCCGCCATAGTATTGTATTAGTAAAAACACGAGATATTCCAGAAACGTTTTTAATATTTTATTCTAAAGCACAGCCGCAGAAAATCGAATTGATTATTTTTCGGGTCAACATTAAATGTGTAGGATTTGTAAATTGTAAAATAGATATTGCATACTTTACCTCATCATAAAATCACGCAAACAGCAAATAAATGATGTACCGATTGTTTTTTTCCAAGTAACTGAATCTCACATTCTTCGATTATCGATGGTACATAGCCTATTAAAGCACTTATATTCTGAAATACTATACTACTGTTCCAATTAATCATAAAACTCAATCTTGTGTTGCATAGAAGAGTTCACTATCATCTCTAAAAATTTCAAAAATGTGTAATGTGTCCATTATATGTGTAATGTGTCTATTGTAAAAATGTGTCAATTTCATTTCTAAATATCTGAATCGGCTTTCACAATGAAGAATAAAAACAAATCATATATAATAGTTTAGCTTCATATTACTAGCACTTTTTTGCCTACAGTGCTGGACATTTTGCTGTAATGATAAACCTACGAGACGCCGATGATATCCAGCATCGGAACACAGAACGAAGCATTAGGCACGCTCAGCAAACACCGACAAGTGAGGTGTACAAGTCCTCTCAAGTGCGTCTCGAGGGCTCAGCAACCGTGAGAAAACCAACCATTTAACCCCATGGGTAAATTTTGTGAACACTAAGAATACTTTCTCCACAAGCATTTTACGTCACATGATTTGTTGGGGCAAATTTTGTGAACAATATGAATACTTTGTTCATAAGCCGTTTACTTCACATGATTTGTTGACATCCGTACTTGACAAGTACAGTGTTACAAGATTGTTATACATATATTATAAGCGAAGATCGATAAGCTGCTAGATTATTTTCTAACACCTTTAAAGTGATCCCTGCTGAAGCATGGAGCTAACCAAAAACAAAATTAAAAAGGACTTTGTGTTAAATATTTAGGAAGTGCATCATAAAATATAATGCACGTATTGTAACGTGTAGAATACCAAGTATTGAATTATTATTATTCGTGAATGTCAATAGCTAAGCTAATGTTATGTTCAAGTTGATCTTGAATACCAATATTTAAAATAATTTCATTTTATTAATCATCTATCGGTTTATTGTCCCCTTATATTTTCTGCGTGGAAGAGGAACTTATTCGCGATATCATATTTACTAGAAGCAATTAAAACGATGAAAGCTTTACTAAACCGCAACTTTCCATCGCCGGTCTGTTTTTTAACAGAGAGTTCGTGTAGGGCACCGGCCCATCGAGGTTATTCAAACTGTCGAAGCTAAGGTGCGAGAAGATCGCAGCGATATGAACCCGACGCTCGATTGTCGTTGTTGGCTGAGACTTGAGAGCGCCGAGCCTTCGTAGCACACTTCACCCTAAGCCTTTTGTAAACCTATTAGCGACTGGGGAGAAGTTCTTCAGCAAATATTCCCAAGCATACATACATCGTTTAACATCACATGCCTTGGTGACTTTATCAACCTTAATAAGCGAATTTGATTTTCTGTTTAAATTAACTGATATGGATGGTGATTTAAAATTTTGCTTGAAAGTAGAGGTACGAGCACTTGAACATATTGCAGCGTGCGAATACGTAACTTGGCTTATGGGGGGAAACAATCATGCAATAAATTTCACCAGTGGAAGTATGTTTTATACAAACATTTCTATGGAAACTTAAATAAAAATTTAAAAATTTCAAAACTTTATGTATCAGCATATGGAATAGAGTTAAATTACAGATCTAGAATGACGGCCACAATATGAGATAAGAGATTAGGTTCAGGTTTAGAGCATCCTGGAGTCAGGTATCATGGTGAAATGGACAGCACGCGCTGCGATAGTTGGCTGAGACTCTTATCACGGTTCTTAGCTCACGTAGATAGGAACGCGCGGTGCTGTGAAATATTCCTGGAAGCGTTGGCTCGAGCTGCGGATGATGGCTAGCAGCAGTTATATAGTTTGGCGCTGCGTTGTATTGCTTCTTGCTTCAAGTTATATAATTCATTATATTATTTATATAATTCATTATATTATTTATATAATTCATTATATTATTTATTTAATTCATTATATTATTTATATAATTCATTATATTCATTCAAGTTCATTATAAGACCATGCAGTATTGACTGCATTTGGGGTGAAAACATCAAAAATTTCAAAACTTAATGTATCAGCATATGGAATTGAGGTAAATTACAGATCTATAATGACGGCCACAAATTTAGCTAAGAGATTAAGTTCAGGTTTAGAGCATCCTGGAGGCAGGTATCATGGTGAAATGGACAGCACGCGCTGCGATAATTTGCCGCGACTCTTATCACGTCTCTTAGCTCACGTAGATAGGAACGCGCGGTGCTGTGAAATATTCCTGGAAGCGTTGGCTTGAGCTGCGGATGATGTATATACACTGTTAGAAAAAACGGTGAAAAAACTGTCCCACTGGCGTTCTAGTGGCCGGTCGCCCCGTGAAAATAAACTGTTTCGCCGTTTTCATCAGATGTTTTACGAATTTCTAGTGTTTAATTAAAATAAAAACGGTGACACGGTGTTTCTTTTCACGTGTCGACCGGCCACTGAAACGCCGGTAATACCGTTAACGGTAATTCTTCTAACAGTGTACATGTAGTATTGCGCTGCGCAGTATTGCTCATCACTTCAAGTTATATCATTCATTATATTATTTATATGATTCATTATATTCATTCAAGTTCATTATAAGACCATGCAGTATTGACTGCATTTGGGGTGAAAACATCACACTAAACGTATTGCGTATCAATTGTGGGCAACATAATGCAAGAGCATGACTGCGCAACATAATGCAAGTGCATGACTGCGCAACATAATGCATTGAGCATGACTGCGTCATTCTTGGCGTGCAGCGAACAAGTCTCGACAACTGCGCATCAAAAAATATACGCTGGAGGGAGATAAGCTCACAACACTTGTCATTTTCCTACGAAATTTAGTATTTATATAAATTCTGAAGCAAAGTTTTTGCTCTAAATATTATACATTTGTACGGTCATGTCTAGACCAAATGTCTTCCATTAACATAACGAACATAATTAGTGCATCCGTTCACAGCAGGCCGTATTAGGCCACAGTGTATGACAGGAAGTGTCAGTTCGCACTCAGGACACCAGCACCAGAATTTAATACATCCCAAATACGGACAACATCACTTCGGCTGTCATTCGTTTATATTCTAATTTGTGTGTTCATTGCAACATTACCCCCTTTTTTAATCGAATTTTGAAAGGGGGTAACAACCCCGCCAATTCAAAATTACTCCCCTTTTCTAATTGAATTTTACCCCTTACTTCTAATTGAATTTTATACGCCCCCCCAAAAAAAATATGTTCGTACGGAATTGCTTACAGGTTTCTTGGTAAAATTTGTGTCGTACATGTATATGATACAACAGAGATTGGCTAGTGCACCATGTATACCAGTAAATTTATAAATAGTAAAAAATTATTAATTTTTAGGATCAATAATCTTTGCCTATTTTGACCTTACATTGTTTTGCGAGGCATCAGTGCTTTTGCGTAAAATAAAACTTTAATAATCGAGAAATCTTGATTACCTAATTGTCTTTGGTGGGCTCACACATACATGAACGAATAAATGACAATATTGAATATATATAATAATATTATTTTCTCTGCATATTCACTCCTATTAATTTATCAGAATATTATTGGCATCATACGTGACATTTGGATGAAGAAAAGAATATTCGCATTGTTTCTAGGCTACTGTGCTCGTCTCAACATCCGTGGCTTTCCCATCTCGTCAAGATCAGAGAAACTCTATATATCATTCATATTAGAGACAACATTTTGCTCTAGTCGCCGTACTTCCAATAACTGAATAATAATATACTGGTGAAATTTTTTATATTGTAATTTTTTCTGTTTTCAAACAAACCCCCTAATCAGGAGCGACAAATTTTGTTGACGCGTTCTATGAAATTGTATGAAAAATAACTAATACATATTCTTGGCAACCAAATCTAGCGAAAAACATTCATTTAAATTTCTAAATTAATCATTAAGTTGAGTTCAATTACGCAAGCTTTACGGTGAAGACAGTCGGGAAATACCCAGTCGGCAGAAACACAGGATGCGAGTGTGAAGCGCGACATGAATTTAAAAATTTGCCGAGGATCTCTGGCCGAGCGTTATCAGGATTCGGGGCTTCTGACTAACGAAATCGGTTAGCGACGTTACAAGTCAACAAAATCTTTAATTAAAGATATTTTATTTTAAATAAAGAAAAAATGTGTAGGGTAAATATATATTGTTTTATCGAGCAACCCAAGAAAATTAAATAGCATTACTTTATATAATCGATATGGCAAAGCGAGATATTAATTCTAATTTCACTCAATACGACGAAAATTTATCCATACCAATGAACTGGACGATGATTACTATATGATCGATATTTCGATCATAGTAATTTTTCACAGCATGAGCTGTGAAAATAAATAATTTTTTTTTTCAACACAAATCTGTCGTTACATGATGAAAAGTTACCGTAAAAAATCTCAGATCGCGTAGGATTAGTTTCTAACTCCACTATAGTTACGAACATGGTGATAAATATGTGCTCAATGAATGTCTCTTTATTAAAATAAAACTCGACGCGAGTTTATGCGGCGCATTTGATGATATAACTGTAATGAAATTATAGTTTACGACGCTCTTGTTGCATGTTGTCAACAACAAGTGCTACGGAGCCGACACATAGTTCAACAGGAATATGAAGCGTATCCTCTAAAACTATCAAGTTAAAAAAATTATTCAGCCTCTGGCTTCTGACGTAACCGTCTCAAATTTACGCGGAAGAAAAACGACCTTATAAGCTGCGCAAGACAATTGCGTAAAGTGAATAACCGTATTTTTTCAACTTGAAAGGAATGACCTCTGAGTACAAGATAGTTGAAGATACTTAGATTATAACTTTTCAATGATCAAAGCAGTTCACCTTGCTTTCCGCTGCAAAAATAAGCAATCAAGGTGTAAGATTTACCATATTGCCTATGTTTATCTTGTGCGTTCATTTGCCATTATAATATATTTTGCCAGAGAAAACCTGTTAAAAAGGGCCATTGGAAACCCTCACACCGAAAATTCGTGGTATTTTCCATCGTCTAGAGTATTATCGATAGGAAGCTAATTCACTACACATGTACTCACTCTTAACAGCAGGAGCGGCCGGGTAGTGTTCGTAGGTCCATGGGGAACTATCAAAGCCCAGAGGTACGTTATAATAGCTCGCTGCAGCAGGCCGAGGTAGTGCAGACATAGAGGAAGGAGCTTGTTGAAGTCCCTTCGCACAAACATGAATTCCGTTAATTAAGAAATACTTTAATAAAAAATTTTGTCTCAAAATGCAGTTGAAGGGGATATAATAAGGTTTTCAGATGTTTAAATTTGGCAATTAATATTATAAACTTCTGTGAGTTCGATACAGGAATCATCCAATTCGATAAAATCTTGAATAAGTGAAAATTGTATAATAAATTAATGTTTAGTTTCGGGAATAATAAGCTACTGTTCATCTCATGATCTTCCAAAGTAGAAAATTTATGAACATCATGTTATTTTCTTAAGCAGAACTAACCTGATTGAGAGCAGCCATTTGAGGTGCAGATGTCATCTGCATAGCTCTTTGGCTACCTAATGAATAAGAAGAATGGTAGGAAGGAGGCACAACATTGCCGTAGCTGTAGGTCTTGGGGAAAGTGGAGTAATTGCCCGGGAGATTAGACGATATTCCAGAGTTAATATTGGCAGCGAGGTTGGAGGTGAGGCTGTTGGTCATCGTGGATGCAGACGGGACACTCGCCGCTTGTGATGGTTTTGCGTGGTGCATGAATTCCGTGTAGTCGGCTGTACGGAAATAAAAAATATTTATGAACATTTCACGATGAAACTCTATCATGATAAATTTGTTAATTCTGAATTTCCACCTAAAGTAGTTTGATATTGATACGAATTTTTTCTCTGAGATTCCTTCTCCTAACAATATGCCGCTTGTAAAAATATCAAACTATTTTGTAATTTGAATCCCGCCTTCGTTTCAAATGACGATTACTAGCTCAGAAACGTACAAATGTATTCTCCTCATGTCACTGTAAAATTTGTTAAGGAGATTTTCATCGCTATTTCTCTTCGGGAAAGAGCGAGCATAGAATTCAAAGCTCAGGAACGGTCATTTTGCTGCAGTATTCTTAAGAAGGGGAAATTTCTTGCTGGCAAATTTACAAAAAAAAAAAAAAATTAAAATTTGTAGGTATAAGTTTTAAATTTTATATAAGAAAGAAAATGATTTTCTATTCGCTCTTTTATTCTCTTGGAAATGATAGCTGCTTTAGTAAAAGATTATAAGATTTAAAGGCAGATACCGTGTTTTTTTTTCAAAAAATTGAAGCGTTATAAAACGACTTGAAATGATTGAATACCCTTCCATGAAAGTGTTCGTATGAAACCAAGGGCAAACAAATTTCTCTAAAGCAGATAACACGGTGTTTATTTTCTGATTGATTGTAATAATTCGTATTATAACGCAACTTACCGCTGTGCTGCGGCCAAAAGGCCCCGACAGAAGCGTCAGTCGCGCTGGGATAAACGTTGCTTCTTTCCCCGTTGTACATGATGCTATTGGTGCTGCTGTTGCTGTTATTGCTGCTGCCACTGCACAGAATAAGGATTATATTAAACAAACGTTGCTTTTTCACCTCTTTACATGTTGCAGTTGTTGCTACTATTGCAGCTAATGTTGCGGCTGCCACTGCCTATGACTGCATAGTATGAAAAAGGATCCTATTAATTGAAAGAGAGTTGCTTCATTGAGCGTTGTGCGCGATAATTTAGTTGCTGTTATGGCTGCTGTGGAATACGTGTCAAGTACTATATATGAAGTGAAGGAATATGTGCCAACATAATTATATTTATTATTATTATTTTTATTATTATTATATAACACAAATGACCGTGAAGATGAGTAAAAATATTCTGATTTGAACTTAATTAAACAACTTAACGATTACATTTTCTAATGCTACAATTGAAAGAGTAAGGTAATAGCCAATTAAGTTTGAGATGAACAATGACATCATGAGTGAACTTCAGAAATTAGTAAAAATTTAAAAATTAATTTCCGAGATTATGCGCAGCTTCTCCATTGCAAAATTTATAGAATTCAGCATCGAAATATTCTCTCAATTCGAGAACAAAATGAATTATTGCTTCCTTGAAGCATTTAACAATATAATTATTAATGCAACAATTCGGATACAAATTTTGAGGTGAAAATAAGAAAATCTAGGAATAAAAATTTCCTAAAAATGTTAATCACACAAACAATAATAATGCATGAGCTATCCAACAGTTGAGCAAGGACCAAATATGGTTTGAGAGATGCTACATGTACGGTGTAGATAGTGGAAGCCTCTATACGTTGTCATTAATTTCCGTAAATAAGATCATACTAAATGCTATCCCGCAAAAAACTCCGCATATAATAAAATTGAATAACGGCTGCAATTGAAACGTGAACCTTGTTTGTCGAGGAATTTCAACGTTTACTAGTTCAATCGTATGAAAACAAACGAAAAAATTATGTCTTAGACTTTTTAGCTTAAATAAATCATCTTGAAGTGTTCGTTACGAAATTTCAAATTGAAATTACACGGCAAAATTGATTCGGAGACTTACAATAGCTTATTGCAAAAACAGCACGAGCCATTTCCCTTGATATACACATTAGTGTAATCGATCTCTCGCACTACAAGTCGTTATAAAGACATGTTATCGACGGCGAAGAACATCTCGCAGATGTCATTCTATCAAACCGAACAGATCTGTAGCGAGTCTTCAACGTTGATTATTGGTTCGATAAAATAATCGTAGTGCTTGACAAAGCTTTTGATCGCAGATACCCAACTTCGCACAGATTACCATCACACTCGCAATAATGCAAATGATTACGGGCAGATTAACACAGAAGTTTTTCTAAGCCAGACATTGCAATTTTCAAATAAATTAGCCAATTTGAAGACGATATTTCCAGCTGTTGCATTCAGAAATGAAATGAAGAATATTTATAAGTTATATATTAATTTTAACCCGCTATTTATGATATTTTGACTTTTCGAGGGTTATTCAATATCCAAAAATCTTTTTTTTTGTTAGCCATCGTTCTATCTGGGAATACACGCATTTAAAATCTAACAAATACGTTTAGCATAACCGTTCCTAGGCAAATTTCAATTCCAACAACCCTCTAACTGGCTCGGTTATAGTCATACTAATATTATTTACGCCTTCCAACTCCGAATTGGAGTATCATAGTGGGCGATCATTACACAGCAGGACACGAAATGTATAAATTCATGCAGTTAGTTAAAGATGAAATCCTTTACTCCATACTCGTATGTTCAGTGTAGGCGAATACATGAAATTCACCAAGTTAGCCGATGATTTATTCATATAATCGTAAAAAGCACAAAAATCCACATTATTTCATCATATCACGTCGAGGTGAACCTTGGACAAATTTGAAGAAACCGCTAACTTTTCAGATCAAACTTTTGAGCCTTGTGTAATCCAACAAACAGATACATACATACCCAATCGAAATAAGTTGAGAAGATAAATCGTAACGATGTTGTAATATGCAAAAACCTCGTAATCGTTACAGACGTGACACTTGTCGTATCAGTGGAAAGAATTAAAACAAGCTAATGATGGTCCGTCCAACAAGGCAGGATTTGTTCAACAGTGGACAGTTAAAGGAGGAGATAGCGGTTATCACCACCGATATGACCACTTGATATCTCTATTACCAAGATAACAAGATAACAGAACACGGGGGCCTGTGCTGTCTAACAGAACATGTGAGATTGAAAATTAATGAGACACAATCTTTTACAAATATAAATCTGGCGCAGAGGGATAAATACATGTAAAATTTAACTACCAAAAACACAGATAAAATTTAAAAAAATTCAAAAACCCTACCGTTTGTTGCGCAAAATAGCAAGTTTTGCTAATTGAATATCAATGATCCCGGTAAAGTTTTTATTCGCATTTTTGTTCACTGAAGAGACAAAATAATGTAATCTCAGCTTTTCCAAGAAATATCTATGAATTATTGAAGAATTAGATGATTTTCCAAGCTGTTAATTTTCACCCCCCGAAAAATTTTCCGTTTCTGACAATTTTAGCGATAATAATATATATGCGATTTCGCTTATTCAGTAAAGCTATTATGGCGAAGCAATAAATGTGTGTGAAAAAACAGCTTTGTTATAATATTTAAGTTCTCTACGTTGTATTTATTTGAATTAACGTAATTCAGCTCGATGTGTGATTCGGTTACGAACCCAGTTTAATTTAACTTGATTCCGTACAAAGATTTATGTAAAAGGATTACGTATACAGTTTTATGGAACACGATTACGTAAGCAGTTTAATATAATTTGATTCTTACAAAGGTTTACATAATAGGATTACATGTACTGTTTTATGTAATGTGATTACATATACAGTTTTATGCGAAATTAAGACCAATAGCGCGCATATGATAGCGTGCAGTCTGAGAGATAAGGAGGAGCTACTGTCGGAACACTTTCCTGATTGCTGCTGATAGCAATTTTTTGTGTCACTTTCAGCCCCTGATGAAGGCTAACTTATACGCTCGTTGCCCGAAAAAATGAACTTTGCAGGTTAAAATTATCCAGAGGATTACAATCAACATTAAGATTTTTAATCTATCATCAATCTATCAAAGAATTACATTCTAAACGTAAGAATTAATGTAAGGGCAAAAACACGAGACCATTAATGTACAAAATTTTAGTGGATTTCAATCGTAAGTATTTAAAAAAGCTTTGTGAAAACGACCTTGGGTAAAATCTAAGAAATATAACTCAGTATATTAAAGTGGCAGTGAGTGACAGAGAGCGCATTTTATCGTCGACGAAAACGTGAAGTCACGGACGGACAGACAGACGGACGGACGGACAGGGCGAGAAAAATTGTGCATTTTTTCCATAAATGAGAAAATGCGCTAAAAATGGTCGTAGAAACTCGTTGTTCATCAAAACCCACCAGACATTAGACGTTGTATCAACATTTAATTAAATGTTCTTTTGTTGAATAATGTTAATTTAACATTGTTACAACGTGATTTATTTAGAAAGAATAGGCTTTTGTAGACTTAAACATATTATCTTACCTGATGTCGTACTGGTTGCTATCGTGCATGAACATGGTCGACGGGCTATTAGGCTGGGCATTGACAGACTGCAAGCCTCCTTGTTGACGATGAGGTTGAATCGAAAAATCTTGTTGACCCTGCAGTTCTTGACACGAAGTATCGGTTGAGTTATACCTATTTATGTTCGCTGGACGATTAAACGACGAGTATTGTGAAGGAACGAGTCCAGTCGAATGTGTCACGGGCACCGAAAAACTTCGGCCAAAATTTCTCAGTTGCTGAAGAGATTGGCCGCTTGCATTAGCTTCAGTTTCTGAACTCACTCCGAAACTAATGATCTTCCCTCCACTTGTAGGATTGACTGGTGGCTGGCATCTGTTATACGCTTTATTTAAAACAAAGTCAGGATATTTTTCGCTAGCGTCACCAAACTGCTCATTAGTTCTATTTTTCTCGTGAAAATAGTCTTCAGATCGGCTGAACTGAGGTGGCGCTGAGTAGCTAGACAACTCTGCATTGGATGAAATAGAACGAACCAAAAGATTGGAATTCAACGAAGGTTCTCTGCTGTTTTGATATGGCGGCGAGAAGTGGTGGTGTGGGGAAACGTTGTGGGAATTTTGGGAAGTTGAGGTTGATTGCGATGGTGAGACCGGCCCCGCGTTCAATGGGGAGTCGTTGGGGCTAACACTTGTTGATCCGCCAGCCCCTTCAATGGGGGACGGTGTAGCTTCTTGGCTCGATGAAACTGTGACTGTATTATTCGCGAACAACTGATTAAACGGTGAACTGTTCAGATCAGAGGGAAAATTTCTGGCGTCACTGGTGAAAATCGCGGAATCGTCCGGGGAGGTTTGTGCTGTGCGGAGCTGCAGTTGACTGGAGGTGCAGTCGTATTTCTCCGAGCTGTAGTCTTGCAGCAGGTCCTGAAATATAAAATAAAAACTTAAAAAACATAAAATTTTTATTTAAACCTTGAAATTTCTGGAAAAATTTCCCAGGAAACACGAATATTGTTGTTTATGCTACTTTAAAAGCAATTAATCCTGGTCACAATGTTCTCAGGTCGAACAAAAAGCATTTAAAAATGTATAAGAACCGATTGACATGCTTTCTATTGCAAGATGATGAAGTTACGTTTACAACCCACCAATTCGCTTGATATTCGCAAAAAAAATGGCACCGATACATGAACCAAGACATTAAATTCGAAAAGTCCATGAAGGTGCGCTTATGAAGACTTGTTCATAACTTACACGTGGCGTATGGTTTTGACGAGTATGTGTCTTGACAAATAATAGCCTCATGTGAGAATAATATTCAATCCTTTTTTTCTCTCTTTATTAATTTGGACAGACCGAGGTAGAGAGAGACCGAGGCAGAAAAGTATGATGTAAACGAATTGGCGATTTGAAAATATATTAATCGCAGATTTTGGTATTACGTCGTTTTTTGATTATTTTAGAAATTTTGCAGCAACAGCAGCCAAAATAAGTTCCAGCTTCTCACCAAATAAATTGCACTAAGCAACAGAAACGAATGAGCTTAACTTTCTACTCTTCGCTTTCATTTTATGGAAAAACACTCATTGATTAATCAGCGTGAAACATTCAAATTATACTGCAAGACACAGTTTCTTCAATTAATACTGCAACAGAATTTGAAATATTCGGAAAAATAACAGCTAGGCAACAAATTAGTTCAAATGAGCTAATATATAGTCTTCTGATCAAGCGGAAACAGAATATACCTAATTGAAAAAAAGTTTTAGTATTATTTTATATGATAAAACACTATGGATTGTATGAAACATTTGAAAACTTGAGAAGTAATAAATAGTTTTTTTGAATGAAATATTGACTCTTGATTAATTATCAGCTACATCTACACAAGACATCCGCGCGAGCAACAGTTACGTGAGGCTGCAGCAATTAAGTCTTCTTTATATTCAAAAGGCCAAGTCGAAATGTTAATTGTCATCTCTCTAAAATAACATTCAATGACTCTAAAAGTTGAGTGTTGATTTGCAGCCTGTCTTATGAACCTGATCAAATTCCAACATCTGTAACACTTTGAGGAGGAATGGAAGCCATATGACGAAACATACTTACGAAGAAACCATGTCCGTGCAATATACAAATTAAATCAGCGTTCATAAAATTCTCGGAACAATAATTTCAACAAATGCTATGAAACACAGCAGAATAAATAACCAAAGCCTCTGCAAATTTGAGGCTCAATGTCGAACAGTGGAAACAGACATGCATGTCTGTGTAATTGTGTCATAATGTTCAGCTCTGTACGAGTTCAATTGAAGAGAAACATGAGGTGTTAGCTTCAAAACTACGTCTGGTAGGTACGAAGATGGGCTATTGCAACCGGGTATTTACTATAATAGTCTGGTACCAAAGATAGGGAGAACAAATTTCATATGTCTATTTATATGTAGTTGCTAGCACTTTTCTGTGTCGCGTGTGCTACAGTCGGACACCATGCATAGATAGCTCGGCTAGTATTCCTATTTAGTCCAGCTATTCGGAATGCAGTGGAGTAATAAGAAACCCAGCGGTCATTGTACATAATGTTTGACTAAAAATACAGTATTTTCTTACAAAGTTCGTTTAATCGTGTGAGGCCATAGGAAAGCGTTCAAATTTTAGGACTTTATCCACACTTTGTTCGAATTAGGTAGCGATTTCCATAACTGAAAATATTGCTATGCTATGGTAAAAGAATCGATTCATGTTTGTGCAATAAAAAATATAGAAACTGCAAATTTATAGTCCCATTGACTTAATACATTCAATTCATACTAATAAAGACCTTTTTCTTTTTAATTCAATCGTCTTAATTATTGAGTAACAATAATTGATGTCACACATTTAAGTAACATTTGCTTTCAGTACTGAATTTGAGACAAACAAATCTCAGAAACTAATTTACGTTCGTTGTTACTTAAGTGCTCCGACGTGGGTTTTACGTAAAGAAAACATATCTATTTGAGGCTAGGCAAATTGTGGAAATCAAGTTCCTAAGCATAAAACGTTGGCGCTGTACCTTTCTAATTATAAATTCGAACTAGAAGAATTAATTTCAAAGCCGTAATATGCAAAGAATCATACCAGTGGTTTTTCCCCGACTATATGTGAAATTATCCCGAACTATTTCCGCTTACGATTATGCATCGCTCATGGACCTGGGTGGAATTTTTATTCCAATTCCTGAAATATGTTATGCTTTATTTTTCCCAATATGAATCCAGCAGCGTCACTTGCTTGCCCAAAAAATGTCAGGCGAGTAATAAAATTATGTTACACTTTAAATATTAAAACCTTACAACTTAACAAGTCATGCGTATAAGTGATTAATTTAAGAAAAAATATTGCTATTTACTGAATTTTCTTTTTATTCATCTGTAAAATTTATATTATGGCACTAAGAAGAAAGTTTTAGACACCAAAGAATAATGATTTTGAAAATATCACGCAAACATTTCACCTACCATATTAAACTTCGACTCAACCTAAGCCTTCTGAGTTCGAGAATTTCGGACACCCATATAAGATAAATTTGATTTAAGTCAAAATATTGATTTATCGTTTCAGTTTAAGAAACACTGATATTTTTCCTAAAGAAAAAAGACATATCAAATATGACTAAACGACCAAGCTGCACTACATTGCAGTGCGTACTGTAAGCATGATGTTAGTTAGGTAGTGGAAGTCATAACATTCAGAGAGTTCAAGTAGCATGGTGAAGACGAGAAAATTTCCTACTTAGCAGTAACGCATACTTACATAACTGTAGGAAACCGCTGCCATGCGGCCTAGGATTCCAGTTGAAACCATCTCAAGCCGATGCTTGTACCGAGTTTAAAGATTCCACAAGCGCGATAAGCAACAATCGCAAGTAGTAACTGAAGCTATGAGCAAATCCAATGACAAATATTTGGAATCTGAACACATTAAAAATTGACTTATGCCGCAACTTTTACCGTGAATTTTAAAATATATTAATTGTTTAAATCTGAAATTGTACTGAAAGTTTTTTGCTTATATCTTCGCGATATCAACACGGAATTGGATGCGCACTTTCAGCAATAACGATCCGGATAGAACGCGAACTGATAACCTGGCTATCGACCTTCTGAGGCGGCTGTGAAAGAACAAGTGCTGCGGCGCATAGAAAACTTAGGCACCAGCGTATGTTGACTCGTACGGTCTGTAGGCGAGACCAGAGGTAGGGCAAAATGACCACCAACCCAAAATCAGGACAGAAAACACAGTGGGCGGTGCCACCCTTCAGGAATGGTGAACCTCTTAGTTCTACATATTATTTACCATGAAAACCTTCGGTGGCATAAACAAATTTTATCATAAATTTCTTGATTTTGACATTTTTCCATCATTAGAGTTTATTTTAATCAGAGCTTAGCGCTTCCTCTTAGTTCTACACATTATTTACAATTAAAACTTTCGGTGGCATAAACGAATTTTATCATAAATTTCTTGAATTTGACATTTTTCCATCTTTAGATTTTATTTTAAGCCGAGCTTATAGCGCTTTTGGTCAAACACGTTCTATATGTCAGTTGATGAGCCGACAGTTCTGCCATAGAAACTAAGAAATCATTTCTGGAATTATGCTGAGATTTTACCTTAAAATTTTAAATTAATGAGATATCGAAAGCCTACTCACTGAATTGATCTTTAGTTTCAAGTTTTATTACTCATGATTGAGAGGTATTTATCGAAGGGTAGGAGGGAGCTAGCACTATCGCATTTCTGGTATGAGATGAATTTGGGATGAAATTGGAGTTTCGTAACCTCCTGCCTTGCTTATAATATTGTTTATCTCTTGTTTAGTATAATATCATAAAGTAATAACAATCATAATTATTAACTGGAGAATTTACTTCAGCATACATTAAATCATAATCAGTATGACTAAGTATATCTAATAACAAAATTGTTATTAGATATACTTGAGTTGGTTTCGTATGTGTTAGGCATGAAGTGTTTCCGAATTGTTTATTTTTTTGTAGCATTAATCACTTCGGAAATTTCTGTCAACGCGGATTTGAATGAAATTTCATAGAGAAGACGGCATGGAATCAAATTTTGAGCATATGGATTATAAGTTTTTTTTCAACATAACTGACATGAATTCATACCTCAAAATATTCTGTGTCATTGATTAAAATTACTTATACAAATATAATTTTTTTTCGTGAACATAACACTTTTGTTATGTCGCAAAACACAGGCTGTTAAATATAAGTTACTTATGGTCTCTGTCGTAGTATAGGCCCTTCAAGAAAAAAATATACCGTCTCATGCTCAAAAATTGAGGAAACATTATCGCCAGTTTCAGGTTACAGCGACCTCTTGTCTATTGTTTAACAGCTGCTCGAGATGTGTCTTTACCAACTGTCTAAGCATGTCTTATTCGTAGCTCATATTCGTGACCTCATATGAACGATTAATGATCGCCGCTGTTCTTCTGATGTCTGCCGAATAACTTTTTTACCTATTTATTAAGTTATAACCTGTAGTAAAAAGTTTGGCTTTATCTGAGGCTGAGAAATGCAGTATCTTGGTAATCTCAATTTAATATTCGCTACCATCAGCAATCCCATTTCAAGCAGAATTATTGGTGCATTTATATATCAAATAAATTTCAGTTCTTAATTTCATCAAAGAATGTCTCGTTCATATTAATTAGTGTCACTTAACCTGGCGAATGAAAGTTACGCAGATAAACTTTGTTAAAACTTCACCTGCGATTTTCAATCATTTTAAGTTTTATATGATAATTCAATTTAATTTAGATGATAAAAATTGTTTTGGGAAATCATAAGTGGGTTTTCACATTACAATGTATGACAAATTTTTAAATCTCAATGAAAAAGATCGGACAAAATTTAGGACTTGAATAAATTATTCGGAAAAATACTTGCTTGTGCGATTTGAAAGTCCGGCAACTTGCACGCAATTTAAATCCAGACTCGGCTCGATGGATTAAAATAATTTATTCAGACAGAATTTAGGACTTGAATAAATCATTCGGAAAAATACTTGCTTGTGCGATTTGAAAGTCCGGCAACTTACACGCAATTTTAATCCAGACTCGGCTCGATGGAAACATTAGATTACCGATCGTATATTTTGCGTGAGTTTAGTTCAAAGACATCGAATTTATCGATGTTCTACGTCCGCAATATAAATTTTCTCAAATGAAATGATTGCTTCTAATGACAATCATTAACTGTACAACTTAAATTCGCAAATAAAAAATATACTAGTGACATGTTTTAATTTTAATGAAGTCAAGATATAAAAATATTTTCTAAAATTTTATAACTTCATTTCATCTTTGATTGCATGATGTCTTACTCAAGTTTATCAATTTTTTTCGATCAAATACTTTCCACCAATATAACTGTTTATTGTAACTACAACACCAAAGCAATTATTGACTGAATGGATAGTTAAGTACTCACTCTCCACATGCAAGTGAGCAGCAACCACATAATAAAGTATGATGGTAATATGCAGTTGCCGGGTTTGATTTCTTTCATCAATTGAAAGATTGGTCTATGAAGCTCAACATGTCCGTAATGACCGTAAGCATTACTTCCCACGTGGCCAACAATCGAACTATTTTTCGATTGATTCAGCTGATATGTACAGTCGATTCGTACAGGCTGTTGTCATTTAATAAAATCAATATCTCTCATCAATTAGATGTAAAAACAACCTCTATCATTATTATCACCATTTATTTGCTCAACGTCCCAATTATTATTAACAAATTTAACTGCCGTTTCGAAACTGTAGTGCGAGGACACTCGTAACGCTAGCAGGTTATCAGCATTCGCCACGCTTGTACAAGACTGACCCAGGGAGCAGGGTGACTCTAACAACAGGAGCTGAATTAGATACCCTTATGAACTGTCGACAGATCCTTTAGATAAGAGACGTTCAGAGGCCTCACGCCCCATGCCCTGGACTGCGCACTGCATGCCAGTGTCGCATTACAGCGTCAACCCTTGTACCGAGGTGAATGAGAATGCGTCATTTTCGACGGACCGCCAGCGTGTTTATGACTGAGTGCATGACAGATAGAATTGCAGTAGTTTGTCCTGGAAATTTAGGGATTGCGATTCATTTTTTTTTTTAATTGGGGCTTTATTTGTATTTATTTTCTAGCGCATCGTTGTACTCTTTTTTGTAATTTTTGGATAAAAAAGTCTTTTTATCAAATTTTTTTGATAAAAAATCCCTCGTAGGCTGGATAAAAATTTTGGGCAAAGAAGTCTTTTTCATTAATTTTTTATAAAAAATCATTTTTGGGTTTGATAAAAAATTCTATGTTTAAATAAAGATACCATAAAAGACACTTCCCTGACCCGTAGTGATCCGTACTTGAGAATTACAGAATTATTTGGTTCAGAAGATCTAGTCTTCGATACTGAATGTCCAAGTTCAAATAAATATATTATATAAAATAGACTCGAAAGAAAACAACCACTGATGAAATCGGAACACATATTACGATGAAATTGATGACAACAAACGGAATTCATCTGTAGTATTGTTTGCCCTATTGCTTCATCTAGATAAATATGAAATAAGTATCTCAATAACTTAAATCAAATAATAAATCACAAATAAATCTTCGCGAATTCTCGTACTTTTTTGCAATTATTTTGTTATAAAAGTGTCCCCTATATATTGGTACGTAGAGTACGTGCATGTACATTTCGTAGAGTATACATTTATACATTATAGTATACATTACATTGAGTATAGATGTACATTTCAAAAGTACGTGCCACGTTAAAAAAATTATTCTTATTGTCTCATGGAATAATGCTCATCAAGTATTTAATCATTCCGTGTTACAAGGAACCTTTTTTGCCGTGAGAGAAAAAAGGAACTTCTACTTTTTAAGGCGGAGCACGGATTAGGATTGTCATTTGTCTTTGAGTAACTGTCCATTGAATGCTGCATAATACTAGTACTTGAGTCTTATCTTAAGAAAATAGAGGCCTTATCAGTACAAATAGGCTGCGTTTTCGTTATCGTTCTGTCAGAGGGAAATGTTTTCGCTGTTTTTCACTCGTCGCTCACGGTCGTCTCAGGCCAATTCGTTATTTAAGTATCAATGAGAGTGTCGAGTAAGATATGTATATCATGTCTCAAACATGACGAGTTGAGGTCATTGAAAGACCCTCGTTCAAACAAGATTCAATTTTACTGATTAAATGAATAGCTGACTGAATAAAATCAACTTTAACTGCCGGCTGATTTTTAAAAATTAACTGAATAACATCAACTCAAATTATCTGAAGTATAGCTTTCATCATGAATAAATGGATGAATGTGTCGATCACCCGACTACAAGATTAGAAGCTCTACTGCTAAATTCTACTAAATTACTGCTTTACGATCGAAAATAACTTAGATTGAATAAATAAAGAATAAGTCCAATATTGTTGAATATAAGTATGAGTGAAATAACATGATTGCAATACTGTTCAATACAAGTATATAGAGAATCAGTAAAGTTTTCTTAGAATATTTTTTAGCCCAAGCATGAGAGAAAAAGCAGACATTGCCTGCACAATTTAAAAACACTGTTCTTACATATTTTTTATTGCCGTTTCTTAAAATTGAAAAAAAAAAACATTAATTTCAGGGAACTCTCTCTCACAAACCCTGGTTCATATTCCATGAAAAAAAAATTATTTTCGCTTCTATTTTCGATGCTCGCCTCGAAAACGACATTTGAGTGTTAATTTTGGAGCATTCAAATGTCATGAAAACATAATTGTAACTGATGCTGCCCGGTCGGTTTCAGGGCACCATCTCATATCTGCACCTCGCCGGTCCTTATTGTTGAAGAAAACGAGTTTGTTCTCGTGGAGTATTTCACTGAATGTCTACGATTTCTCACTATTGATGAAGATTCATTTCAGGGGTCAAACTATCAATCAATAATCCAGAGTTCGTAATTTTGCCAGTAACTCACTGATAAATTTTCCGGATGAATACAACAATTACAGACTAGAAATTGGCTGCTACGTGCACTTAATTAGGCCGCTACGTCTAATTATAAGCCGCTACGAGTATATAAGCGAGTCCAATGGACAATTCAACTGGAGTATTTCGGCAATTAAAATGCATACGGTTTGGAGATGAGAGCAGGATATATATTAGTGATACGGTTTCAAGATTCTATTAGCTTTTCAAAGCAATATGTGTGATAGATATTGTGTGTGTAGATAAATCTTTTCATGAATAATGATTAGGGGATTTTGTCCAAATTTTTACATGCGATCATACAGAATAAAATACTGGCAATTGATAATTTTAGTTTTAAATCACCTTTGACGTGATCTCGTTGAGACATTCACCGTACATATATTCATTGATTTGTGATCCACCACGGAGTTTATTGTTGTCTTTTCATCATTATTATTTCAGTTTATATTTTCATTAATCATGCGCATGCAATTTCAATTCTGCTTATGAAGTTATCATTAAATGTACTCTACACACAATACATTTGTATTGTATTCAATTCCATATTCCGCCTCTGTTGGTTAGGTATTACTAGCTATAAATTGTTGTTTACTTGTGAATTTCAGAAAAGGCTCCGAAATTAGGGCATCGCCTAAGAGAACGCCAATCCATGTATATTTTTGTATTTTCGTTTATGAAGTTCGATTATTTTTACACTTTTTTCATCCGTTTCATTCAAAAATTTCTTTCCGGTCATTGGCTAAATGGCGGAAGGTAACTAGAAGTTTAATTTAAATATTCATTGAATGGACCCAACCATGATTATTATTGTTCGATTGTTAAGAGAATAATAATATTGTGCCTATGAGAAGCTTTGAGGGATTTTAAAAAAGTATCCCAAAAGTCTACTGTATTAATGAGTCTGACTTCAGTTAAGTTTTATTGTACACTACGTTGCCAGTACAGTATTGCTGCGGGTATACCTAAATAGCTATGGTAACTATTCGTGAACAATTTATTTAACTTTAGTACTAGATATAAATTTGCAATAATATGCAGAATTTTTTTCGATTTTTATTTTATTTTAGAAAGAGAATGAGAATGTCGCTACTCTGTCTACTGAATAAAATTCGAAAATTTGCCTCTGATGTTAATTAGAAAGAAACAATTGTAAGGGGCAATAATGTTCGTGATGACTTGAATTAGAAGTTGGTAACTGCTTTAATTTAAGACAGACATGTTTCTGTCAAACCAAGCTACCTTTATGAGATTATATTATCCACAAATATTCTTTCATATCCCGGTCTTCTCCATTCATTTAAATTTTCTTTAATCAAATTTTATGGCAAAAATTGTTTCTCATATTGCTTTCAGTATTTAGCACGAAACTAATAAAGTATAGAAAAATTTTAAATTTATTACCTTTGTTGGAGGGATGAATTCGTGACGCCGAGTTCTCCCCATGAATAGATATTATCGCAATTTCAACTGTTAGATTAATTCAATATAAGAAACTTTCAAGCGAAATCCCTTACCTAAACAATTATGATTTCAAAGGAGGATTAAATAAATTAAAAACGTCTAAACAACAAAAATTAGACCAAGACAGCCAAGGATTATATCCTGCAGATGGTATCCTGTTGATATAAATGTATAATAAAATAATAAATAAAATTACTATTGGTCAATTTCTTACCTGGTTTTGGTGCAATGCTGAGCTTTTTCCTGGCGAATGTTCAGCATTGAGCACTGAACTGTCAGCTGTGCAGTCTGGAGTTATTTCTGATTCGCTTGACTGGTAATTCACGGAAACTGCCAAGCCACTTCTCTGTTGAAGTTCCTTTAGTTCCCGTGCGATGCTTTCAGACTCGGGAGACGCAGGCTTCGTAAGTTGATTCAATGTGAAATTTTGACGATCATCCGCGGATTCAAAAGTGAAAACTGAACCAGTTTCCGATGTAGCACCTGAAATATCTGCAGCTGAAGGTGCGGTAGAAATAGAAGGTGATATTGGAGAGTAGGAGGAAGAAATGTTGAAAGGTGAAGTCACTACAGGAGAAATTGCACTTCTAATCAGTGGATTTAAACGCAAGTTTATTGGTTTCAAAGGCTGAGGTACTCTAGTGATTTTTGTATAAGAAATGCTGGGTCTTTGGTCTACAGAGACATCGTTGCTACACGGAACACTGGTAGAAATATTCCCTCGGCCGTTAAATGATTTCGAAGTCACAGAATTCAATGAGAGAGGCAAAGAAACATCATGAGCAAATTTTTTATTGCAACTTTCACTTCCCGCACGATTTTCACTCGGGACACTTTCGGATAAATCATCACTTTTGCCATTCAAAATCACGTTCACGGCTTTCTGCAAGGGATCATCATCGCTTCGACTGCGTATGACACCTCGTCCGTTGTTGGAAGATCCACCACTGCTTTTATCTAACAAACTTTTCCGTGTGGCATGAGAAAATATAACCGAGCTCTCTTGACCGAGCGAATAAGCATGATTACCTTGGAAAAGAGACGGTGAAATAGACTCAGATTTAGGAGTGAGTTCGGGGGTCAGCGTGGTACTGTCGGCTGCTCCGTCCAACTGCGATCTCTCAGGGAGTGCCAAAGATAGGGCGACTGCCATTTGTTGGCCGCCAGTAAACGTGGGGATGAAGTGGTTCAAGAGGGTCGAGGTTGGTATAGCTACACAGCTGCCATGAGCAGAATCATCACTAGGTTTCATCTGCACTTGCATATTCAGACTATTACTGCGGCGAGAGGGCGATGTTCTGTTCTGCATGGTGGTGTGGGAGGCAGGCAGACTCGTGGGGTTGACTGTTTTTCCTTATCTTCAGGAGACACAAGCTGGAATTCCCTCACTAACTATTTCTGATACGAGATAACAATGCAGGCAGGATATTTACCCCCCACTTACTTATGAAAAGGTCTTCTGATTTTTGCAAAGTTTTGGCTCATTAACTACCTCTTGGTAGTTTATTTTGATTGTCTGAGCTTCACACAAAATTGCATAATAACACTGCTTCAACGCTATAGTTTCAAATTCAAAATATGAGTAAGATGTCTAAATATTTCTTCACTGGCTCCAGCTTGGATCCAAAAATGAGTGAATGCTGCAAAAAAAGGTAATGAATGCACATATTAGATTAGTTGTAAAAGAATCAGGTAATTGAATACAAAATAATCTAACTACGCACAAACATCAACATATAATAACACCAACCACTTAATAGCGTAATACGCACCACGGGAGTAACAGCATGCGGTGGCCAGCTTTATTTGTATAATTTTTCGTACATTGTGTAAAACCAAAAATTTTTTTAAACGTGTAGTAAATTTAAATTAGTTAGTAATGATATCGAATTCGACTTTACAATTTTAACTCACCAAAATCGAAGGCATTTGCGTCTTCCACTGTTATGCTCGATAAGTTTACTATTCAATAATAATACCAATTCTAATCCCTCAAATTAAAAATCAATATGGGTAAACTTCATTTCTGAATTATTTTTAATGTATACTTTATGACGATGATGAAGAAAAATAATTCTTCTTTATGGATTCACAATTCATGAATGCCTTGCAAATTCTTTCATAAGCAGCAGAATCAGTAGGCTCTAGGATGCTCTCGCAATCTGGTTATCCCGTGAGTATAGATGGTGTATTCCCATCCTGCGCTGCGCACATTGATATCTCCGGTGACTTTATTCGTATTACCTTTATTTTCTTNGCGCACATTGATATCTCCGGTGACTTTATTCTTATTACCTTTATTTTCTTACGTCCATTTTCATGCCCGTTAAAGGAATTAAATTGAGATCTTGTTATAATATAGACAATTTTTTTACAATATCGGTGTGAAATTATTGATTAGTACAAAATTCTACGTGATTAAAGACAATCCTATGCGCTAAACGTAAATAATTAAGAATAGCCCCCATAATCTGCGTAAAAAATTTCAGGCTGTTTTCCGCTGATAGGAATACAGTGTACAAGATAGGGAGTTTAGAAATTGAATGAATACCTAATTTTCGCATTTCATTTAATCATAAGAGTAACAAATGATGTTGAAACGTATAAAATCACAATGAAGTTCCATCAAACTAAGTTTTGAGAATTACGGGATAAACATCGCCCCAAAAGTAATCGAAGCATCTACTTAGTATCTTCTAAGAAACTAAGGATTTAAAATTTAAGAATCTTTATACTTTTGAATTCTTCCCCTTTTTCCAATTTTTGATTCAGTGAATGACTTTTTATGCCCAGCTCCTGATTTTTGAATGAAATCCTGGACGGAAGCCTGCGTGTTTTGACAATTATAAGCAAAACAAGAGATAAGTATGCGTAGTAAGACTTATCGAACAAACGTACACCTCCATTCATGCCATACGCACTTCTTATCACCCTTCAGCCTTGCCTAGATTGTGAAAGTTGAAATATCAGCTATGTCCTGATAATTTGTGCATTAAGTTTCATTTTATCGCACATGTTGATATTGTATAAAATTATATTCGTTGATCTAGTTATATTCTTCAGAAGATTTTAATGGCTGCCATTAAAGGTTTTCAGCTTTTTCGTTTCTTTCAATAAATTTAAAGTAGATAAATTTACCATGCAAAAAAATCAACTCAATACTATCCAGCAATCTCTTTTCCAGTAGTAAAGAATCGCGGTGCAAGCAGATAAGTTCCTCAACAGCTCCTATAGTTGAGGAAACTTTGCTTTTACTTGCAACTTCAGGATGAGTTTTAAATGATAAATAACGCCTACTGCAAAGGGGTTACCAATCGAAAGTAAATAGTGAGCCTTAATAAGTATTCATTTAACTGATAAATAAAAATAAATATCAATGCTAAAGAATAGACTATTTCCCGAATTAACAACATATAAACATTTGAATACAAATATTACCATTTTTAATATGAATTTCCGTAAAATGAGCGCATATCGGACCGTTTCTAGCTAGAGAGAAGTACTTTTACCGAAATTATTGATTATTTAGCAGCATGCAGCACGATTGTCAGACATCCTTCGAAATTTGATTAACTTATTTCTGTTTCTTTTTTGAAACACAGTGAATGTGCCAAACTTCATACTAAAAACGTTTTAAATCATATGGTAATTCAAAACTTTTCAACATTTGTTAATTACATCAATAACTTTTTATTTACCTTTCATGAACCATAAAAATGTTTCAGGACGAATCGGGATTTATTCGCAGGCTCATATCGGGATACTCGGCATGACTTTCGTGTGGTGTCATACTAAGTGCGACGTACTTCTCTTCGCTATAATATGAAGAAATATAAATATATAATAATTTCTTACACCTATTTTGTCAACAGTAGTTTCACTTGCCATGCGTTGGCGCGTTTTTAATGAATAATTTAAATAGATTTTCCTTGTATCATTCATGATTTGAAATGTTCAAATCATGAATATAGTTCAATATATTTTTTGGGCCAATGTTCCCATTCGATTAAATACTCAACTTCACTCAACTTCAATACTCAACAAATTAATAGTCAGACCTTTAGTTATCGAACAAAAATTTTAATTTTTCATCATGCTCCAATTACCCAGACGAAAATCCAGCATATTTTTATTTTTAAGTTGATTCAATTTCGAATTAATTAACATTGCAATAGTTGATTATTGCAATTATTTATATTTATTATTAACTTTTCTGGTAAATTCTGGTCTCTACCTCCATTTGGGTCTAAATATCTTTCTCTATAGCGATCTGCCAAGCGCCTGTCAAGCCTAGAGCATTACCACAGTTTGTGATTACTATTGTCACGGACATGCTAATACCATGAGCATTACCATGGACATGCTATTACCTAGAATATTGCCATAGTTTTTCTTCACTACCATGAACATCTCGTAGGGTTCTCAATTCCCGTGAAAATTTACATGAATTTTCGATTAACATTATAACTATGATTATCACCACGGTCTTATCTTTCATATGTTTACTGAGAACATTTTTGCGTTTCTTTCGTAACTTTTTTTAGTACTTTGCCACTCTTATACAATTAAAATTGCCTTACCGCAATTACCATAAAAATTACGGTAATGATGATTACTATGGTGAATACTATAAACGTCGATTAACGATTTTGTCCTCAATAACACAGTTCGAAATCCAAAATAACCAATACATAATAATAAAATAAGTTAACACAAAGTTCTTGAGTACGAATAACGTCAGATGAGAGTAAAGATTGAAGTGTTCTCATAATGGCGTCGGAAGTGGCAACTTAAATCTTAAGATATTAGGACGTTAATAAATATCAACTGCGCACTGTGTTCTCTTGTCATGAAACGTGAGACTGCGTAACTTGCGTTCGTAATTTGCAAACTTCTTAGTCATTGGTTGAACACGATATTGAGAGAAGAGGCTAGAGTCGCAGGAAAGTTTAACTATATTGCTTGATACAAAATCGCTCTGTTTCTTACGGCGAAGACTGATTGATTCAGCTCTCATCTAATTGTAAATGCATGCTAATTCAAGCAAATATTTCATCAGAGGGTTTCTTGTATTTCAATCAATATTAACAACCAGCATAAACCGAAACTATGGATCATTCAAGATTGTGTGAGTCAAAACGAGTAATTTCGTAATATTTTTATTACGCGATAAATCTGGAGAAACGCCACCCCAAAACTTTGATATATGAAAAAGAGTCAAGATAATACTGTTGAAAATAATTTGGAATGTCTAGTCGAGTATCAAAATGTAATATAAAATTAAGTCTATGGCCATTCTAACTTTTTAGGATTAAATTTTAAATTTTTCACCGTTTGCGGTGCGAATATCTTGTCGTTAAATCAATAGATGATTTAGGGTCAAATTTTAACTAGTGTTGAACAAATCGGGTTAGTCCAGTCAGCGACCTATAATATATGAGTCTTGGTGCATGTAGATCGATGGTTTTCTGAGAACGTGTTCGAGGACATCGGCTGTTTCTTTAGAATAACAACTCCACAATAACAATACTTATTGTCACTTTAGAATTACAACCAAACAATAACAATAATAATTGTCACTTTAGAATTACAACTACACAATAACAATAATAACTGTCACTTTAGAATAACAACTACACAATAACAATAATAATTGTCAGTTTAGAACAACTACACAATAACAATATTTATTGTCACTTTAGAATGACAACTACACAATAACAATATTTATTGTCACTTTAGAATAACAACTACACAATAATAACAAAACTCATTAAATAAAGTTAAGTAAATCCCAAGTTTGCACTTGACTGGCATGTCCGCTTTGCACGCTTCTCAGCCGGACGCGTTAACGGCTTTGTTAGATTGAGACGAACGCTGTGAGTGTAGCTATGAGTCGCCTTGCCCACTCATCATCGTCTAGCCCACTCATCATCGTCTTACCCACTCATTGCCGTCTTACCCACTCATCATCGTCTAACAAACTCATCACGGTCTTTCTACACTTCATCGTCTTTCTCAACATCGTTTTTTCACTGTTCATCGTCTTTCTCACTCTTGCGTCTCATCATCGCATACTGTCCACTCAGCAACTTCTTATCGACTCATCATCGAGTAGCCCCACTAATCATTGCCTTGCCCACTGAACATCACGATACCATCATCGTCGTGCCCGTTTAACATCACCACTCCCACTCATCATCCTCTAGTCCACTCTTCAGTTTCCATAGCGGCAACTGAGCTCATACATGCACTTTAGCGTTGGCGTGTTGCTTGTTTTCTGCTAGTTTGTTTTTAATTTTTTGATATTCCACCTTTGCGATTTGAGAACTAACTGTGCATTAATTTAGAGACAGTTACAATGATCACCATTAATTTATGTAGGTCTGAAAGTCGGAGTCGAAGACCAAACCTCAAAAAGATACATGCGACCGTTTCTTAATCTATGCCGACGCAAATGATCATGTTCTTGTTTAGTTGATTGTCTATAAGCCTACTATAGCCTATCTTCATAATTTTCAGTAAAAATTTGTCGAATATATGATAAATTTGCTCTGCGTTTTCTATTCTTTCGAATTCTTGTTAAATTTGAAATTTAAGCAGACTAGTGATACTTGTAAATACAAGTATTCTGAGCGACTTAATTCGCCAAATATTGTCCTGCCTATTCATTTTGGTAAGCTCATGCTTTAAAATTTTCTATCATAACAGAAATCATATGATGAAATAATGTCCCGGCACTCGTTACACATAAGTTTGGCTGGCAGAGATGTTGAGGCATGTCACAATCAAGATATTCAACGATATTGTACGAAATTTTAATGACGGCGTTCATTACACAAAGTAAATTATATTGAAATGTGCAGATGCTTTCCTATTTAGTTTATCATATACATGTGTCATACATGCTTCTGTAACAAACAAATGAACGAAATGAAAAATTATGTGCTTTAATTGAGGGCCAGAAGTCATTTGTGGTGCAATTCAGCTTCTCATTTCCTTAGCATTTAAGGTGTATACAATGAAGTACTTATTATAAATGCATGGTATTAAAATAACGGCTCAATCAATCAACTTTTGCAAGCTGATATCAAACTTAAGTGATTTTAATGTTAGTTTTGAGAAACTTCCTACGGTGCATGGAAAAATCGTACAGAATAATTGGTTTATTTGTATTGAAGATTTTAAATCACGAGTTACTCTTATCCCTACATCGCATTAGGAGATTTATTAGGCAGTAAATATTCGAATTAATTTAAAATTCAACTAGTGCGTAATTTTTGTAGTTGGAAAAGACATTGCTAGGACTATATAGAATCTCGAAAAAAATATTTTTGTTGCATGGCTAAGAAATATTCAAATATTCAAGTATGTAATATATTTCTAGCGTGGTTTCGTAATCTTTAACAGTTATGAATTAAAAAATAAAAATTGAAAATTTATATTTACAATGTTTTAACTTGAAGATTAAAAGGTCTTTTTACTTTATTATGATATAAATACTCGTTTTCAATATCGATTAATCATCATTGGCATCATATGAAAACTTACAATAAATTGCGTGACAAATTTTACTGCTATTGCGTGAGGGAATTTCAAATCACATTTGATTAACATAGAAGACACACGGTGAAATCTTGAAAAATTCCATAGCAAAATGGCGTATATGATTTAAATTTGATTTCACTCACCTGAAGGCTGGTGCAAAAAGTATTATCAAAACTGTATAATGCCTCACAAATTACATTTATTCCTAAAAATGCGTCACTTTTTGGAAGATCCACTGTAAGAAAATTCAATATTTTGAACCACTTTAAGCTAGCTCGGCTATCGCTGTGTCACTTGCGATTGTCGGACGACAAATGAGTTATGCTCGTCTTGGGTACAGTCTTATATAGTCTTGGGTACAGTCTTATATAGTCTTGGGTACAGTCTTATATAGTCTTGGGTACAGTCTTATATACGGTAAGTGTTGAGGCTCCCTAGTGGTTAGATCCTACCCACAACCTGATAGCATCTCCATCCATTCATGTTACCTTTCTGGCTGTTCAAATTGCTTTTCTGTGCATATTTTTTAGAAAGTTAGTTTTATGAGAAACACTATTTTATTACTTTATATTACACTATATTACACTATTATATTAACACTCGACCGAAGAAAATTGGAGGAAACATGAACACGTGCATGCTGGAAACGTAGCTGAGAAATTTTTTTCAATTTAACATTTGAATTGTATATTTTATACATGATGTATACATGAAGCGTAAACATCAAAATCCCGACCGACTTTTAATCGAGTACATCCAATAGCAGAAAATAAAAAATGTAATTTAATTTTTATTTTTAAAAAATATATATTGTAATAAACATTGGAGAACTTAGAGCATGACAGCCGCCCGGGGCAATTAATATGTTTTTATTAATCCTTGTAATAAAGTTGAGGATCCGATTATTAATTATTCAATTGATAATTTCCAACTAAGCCCGTGTTGATTGATCCGTTAAAATGTACAGTTGGTTCTGAAATCTCATTAATTCTGATTTTTTAATTTAAAGCTATATATAATTTTGTTATTATTAAATAAAAGATAAACAAACCAAGCAATAAATCGTTTTGAGATTCTTCACTTTAGTCTCCTCCATTTATCTATATCTCATAACTTCACTTTCAAAAATTAAAAACCTGTTCCAAGTAATGCCTAATTTAGTCCCGGATATACTGTTTTTTTTAATGTGTATAAATGCCGGTACAACTCGAATATTATTTTAAAGTCAGAGTTCTAAGACACCTATGTCGGGACCAAGGACCTAAGTAAAAACTTTAAAATAAATACAAACGATTTGTAATTGATATTTAAAGTTGGGGCGTGAAACTGAAATCAGCTTGAAATCTAATTATTTTACCATCTAACGTTTTCACGAAACGTTTTATACGTACGTTTCATACTTGTTATTTAAAATTTTAAGCGTACGTTTAAAACGTGAATACGTGAAACGTATTCACGTTTCAATTGAAGTGAAAGCCTATTCATTCTCGTTTGTTCTCTGGCCGGGAAAAAGCACCTCGGCACCAGGCGTTCACATTTCGTTCGGCTTCAAACTCTTCCTAACATGACCCTAGCCAATAGAAACAACGCTAACGTTTCCGGGAGCTGTTGAATTTAAATGATTTTTTGTTACAATTTCAAAATATATTGCAATCGTATTGTCCGCATAATAAATTTTCTGGTGAATGATCTTGCGGTTGAAATTCTACGATTGCAAATTCGCGTTCCAGTTTCAACGTTTTCACTTGACGGTGAAAGTTCTTCAGTGATGTATAATTGACGTAAATTAGGCTTTCGTTACGCAGTGAATACAGTGGATAATCAAACATCACTATTACATCGTCTACTTGAGTCGCAAGTCTGCCGTGGCAATTACCTTACAAATCGTTGGTAAGGGGGAAAAAATATGTATACGAGCTTCCCGAAAAACAATCTTACGAAAAAACTGCAAAGTAAAGAATTAAACTCCATCGTTTCATAACTTATTAAACATGACAACTTATATTATTATTGTTGATGAATCTCCCCTCTGAACCATAATTTCCTCACAACCGAGTTCACTGATATTAAAGTTTTAAATCTTATTAAAAATGAATTACTTAATATGCCATTACGTGTCCTAAGTCGTCGCATTTGGATTTTTCTTATCAGTGACATAATTTTCGGTCAATTTATTAAAATCTTAACAATACGTAAACGGGCTCCGATAACCACGACAATTGAACAGAATCAAATGGACCAAAGAACAATTAATATTTTATCTGAATGCCATCATATCCAGACACCAATTATAGCCGCCTACACTTATTGGACCTCCTGCACTGACATGAAGGGCATAAAATAACCTAAATACAGAAAAACGTAACCGCTCAGACATGATGTTTTTAAAATAAAACCAAGCAATAAAAGTCTGAAGGCTGCAATGAATGCAACCATGATCATTTATAAAAATATGATAATTAGAAATTAGTTGCTATGTTGTTTTGCCGTAATGCCTCGAGCATTAATTTGTTACAAAAATGTGGAAATGTCGATGTCCTGGAAATGTCGATGTCTGATTTCTCAATAACTAAGTTTGGATACAGTTAATATCAAACTTTATAATACAGTTAATATCAAACTTGTTTTTATAAACTTTATAACGTTTTATGTAGTATCAGCCATTACTGTGAATTTCATTTGAATATTATGAGAAATCTAATTTAAACAGCTTTATGTAAATTAATCATTCGCAATACAAGAATTATTGTAGGTGTATTTCGATTTTATTTGCATTAATTAATTTCCCAGCCTGAGCTCCAATTATTATCTTCTGAAGTACATCAGGTGGCGTGTTCGGAATCATCAGGCTTTTGTCCCATTACTAAAATAAATTATTGAGTTTCTGTTTCTTCGTTTCATGACTAAAATAAATCATTGATTTTCTGTTTCTTCGTTTCATCACTAAAATAAATCATTGATTTTCTGTTTCTTCGTTCATCACTAAAATAAATCATTGATTTTCTGTTTCTTCGTCTCATCACTAAAATAAATCATTGAGTTTCTGTTTCTTCGTCTCATCACTAAAAAATCATTGATTTTCTGTTTCTTCCTTTCATCACTAAAATAAATCATTGATTTTCTGTTTCTTCCTTTCATCACTAAAATAAATCATTGATTTTCTGTTTCATCGTCCCATCTCTAAAATAAATCATTGAGTTTCTGTTTCTTTGTGTCATTACTAAATAAATAATTTTTTTTCTTTTTATCCATCAGCAAAAAAACTATTACCTCCACCTCACGCATTACCACGATTTTTACCGCAAGGAATTATGTCAGGAATTATTATCAGATGGTGATAAAGATTTCTAGTATCAAATTGTAATTCAGTCAATATCGCCTCTTTTGTGGGTGGCAAGATTTTGGTATCTTGCGT